GAAGAGTCCAGCGTGGAAGTCATCCTTCATTTCACAAAAGACATCCCTGAGGCTCAGAATGAGAGGAAGGGTCACATAATTAGTTACTGGCAGAACCTGAATTCTAAAAGAGAAGACTCGTAAGAACATAGACAGAGTTAGAAGGGACATTTATAGGATAGTTAATAAAATCTCATTGGAGCTTCATAACAACCCAATGAGGGAGATACTACAAGTATTATTATCTTCCATTTTATAGGTGAGGAAATGGGCTCAGAGTGAGTAAGTAACAAGCCCATGATCACAAAGCTAATAAGCATCAGCACCAAGATTTTAATTTGGGCCTTCCTAGCTCCAAGTCCAGCACTCTACTCATTACACCACCCTACCTATTGGGATCTTTGCAGAGGTAGTTCAAATCACTACATCATTTCGTGTGTGTGTGTGTGTGTGTGTGTGTGTGTGTGTGTGTGTGTGTGTCTATCTGTCTGTCTGTCTGTAAGGTAAAGAACCTCAGCAGGTCTGTTTTTTTCTTAAAAGAAAAATGCATCATTTTAAGGGAATGAATACATCAGTAACACAAAAAAGTAAAAGAAAACCAAGTTAAAATCCCTGGTGAAGTAAAGAAGGGAGGACTCAGGGGAAACATGATAGCAGTCTTCAAGTATCTGAAGTTGGCCCCAGAGGGCAGAACTAATGAGGAACCATGGGGATAGAGTGCAGAGAGGCAGATTTTGGCACAGTGTAAGAAACAGTAGACTGAAGGGGCCAGTCTTGAGAAAGTGAGCTTCCCCTCACTGGAGATATTCAAATAGAGACCAGGTGACCATTTGTAGAAAAGCTTCTTGTTCAAGTATGGATTGGACAAGATCAACAGTCTTTAATCTGAGGTCTGTGAACCTGGTTGTTTAATATGTTGGTAACTGTATTTCTATATTTCTAATTGTAAAGGCAGTTAGGTGGTACAGTAGACAGAGCACCAGGCCTAGAGTCAGGAAGACCCGAGTTCAAATTTGGTCTCATGCACTTACTTGTTGTATGACCCTGGGCAAACTGTTTGCCTCAGTTTCCTCCTTTGTAAAAATGAGCTGGAGAAAGAAATGGCAAACCTCTCCAGTATCTTTGAGAAGAAAACCCCAAATGGGGTCACAAAGAGTCAGACACAACTGAAAAACGACTAAACAAAAACAACCGTTTTTCACTGTAACTGGCTTCCTTTGTAATCCCATGTTTTATTTCATGCACTTGAAAACATTATTCTGAGAAAGGATCCCCCCGTGTCACCAGATTGCCAGAGGAGTTCACAACACAAAAATGGCTAAGAACTGCTGCAATGGAACAAAAGATCTGTGAAGTCCTTCCAGTTCGGAGATTCTCTATTCGGAACAGCTTAAAGCTAGGGACAGAGGGGAGGGAAGAAGGGGGATGGAAATAAGCAATTAAATAACACGGTGCCTAAACACTTTACCAATATTATCTCATTTGATCCTCACAATAACTCTGGGAGGTAGGTGCTATTATTATCCCCATTTTATAGTCGAGGAAACAGAGGCTGAGAAAGGTGAAATGACTTGCCCATGGTCACGCAGTTAGTTAAGTGTCTGTGGCTAGATTTGAACTCAGGTCTAGCGCTCTACCTACTATGCCACCTAGTTGCCTCTTGCCCAGTTAAATTTACCTCAACTTCTCCCAAATACACTTAAAAGGGCAGCTAGCTCCCTGTTTTTCATGACTTTTGTCATGCCAAATTTGTACAACACAAGTTTCCTGTACACCTACTGGATCAAACAGGCATGGAAGTCATTAAAATGCACAGCAGTGAACTTGAGTATCAGGGGACAGTGGCTGGAATCCAGGCACAGACAAATGCCAATACCACCTGGTGTATCATGAGCAGGCATTTCAACTCTCTCAGCCTCAGCATCCTCTTCTCTAAAATGGGGATAATAAGAATTGCTTGACCCTCCTCTAAGCTCTCTTGTGAGCAGAAGAGCTCTGTGTAACCTTAAAGAATAATGAAAATGACTACATTATTCAGAAAATATCTCGTGGAAAGACCTGCATAATCTCTCCAGCAAAGGTGGTTTGAGGTTTAGAAATGATCCTTCCCTTCCTGGGAACAGACAGTGTTTGCTGTTATTAGCCACTGTGTAAAGTACTTTTGGCTGGAAGCATCAGATCAGGCTTTGGAATATCACTGCCCTGTGGGAAATGGAACTGGGAACCTGACGCTGAGTCAGGGTAGTTGTTGAAGGCTGGCTGGATCCAGTGAATACTAATTCTTAGCCTTCCAAGCAGGCAGACAGCGATGGCTGGCATGAAGCACCTACCCCCTCTCTCCTGCCTTGAGTCTAATGCCAGAGGTCAGTGAGTGTTATAGTTATATTGTGACCTGGGTACGGCCTATAAAACTATAAGCTTCATCTGCACTCCATACTTCAGATTCTTTCTCCTGGGTGACATGGGAACCACATTTTTGAAAGATTTATACCTTTTTGTATGAAAAAAGAATTCACAACAAGATGCTGCCAGCACTAAGTTTACAGATTATGAAAACACTTCACAGTTTTACGTAGCTGAATAGCGCTCGTCTGTGCTGTAATTTCACAAGACAGATTAACAAATATAATAGTGATATAAATGTCACTTTCCTGACACCAAAAATAAAAAAAAAGACTATAAGCTTCATGAAAGCAGGCATTGTAGAGGATCCACATTTTGTATCTTCCCAGCCCTGAACACCAAACCCCATACAGGGCAGGCACCTAAATAAAGTAAATTTACCGAACTGTCAAATCTTCACAACAGCCTTGCAAAGGTAGGCAGTGATAGTATTATTATTTCCATTTTATAGACAATAAAGTTGAGGTCCATAGAGGTGTCCTTTGTCAAATAGCTAGTGGCACCCAGGTCTTCTAATTACATGCTTGCAGCATTGATTGAGGTAAAGAAATACCTTGTCCTACCCCAGAGGAGCTCACAGCCTGGCTGACATCTCCAAGGCAAAAAACAATAATACTGAGTGTAAACAGACCATTATAAAGTCTAAGAAGGTCAAAAGGTCAAGGTTCTTCTTATGAGCTTCTAATTGCTGTCCTTTTTCAGGATTTCCAATCAATGGAAAGGGTCATCCTCAGGGTTAGAAAAAAGGTAGCCTAGTTGGGTTTGGTATTATAAGCTCTCCAGTTGTGGGGCTGGCAGCAGGACCAGAGATGGCCTCATCTCAGGGGCTTGTAGCAGGGGGATTTATGAGCTTCCCAGCCCAACCCATCAGTCAGGAAAAGGCTATAGGAGGAGTAGTCAGAAGCAAAGGATGATGATACTGGAGGGTTACTAAGCACAGGACTCAGAACTCTGACTAGGGGTCCACCTGAAGTGTCAGGGCACCGGGAGAGAAAATAGAGAGGCAAATCACCCAAAGAAACTTGGTGATTATAATTATTAGTCAATGAGAAAGAGACCCAGTGGTGGAAAGAAGCCTAGACTGAGAAGGGAAAGAGGCCTATGTTGGTGCCCTGACTCTCCCTTTACCTCTGTGTGACTTTGGGTAACAATCACTTCAGAACAAGAGATCATGGACTGAGATCTCAGAAGGATTTAAAACATCTAGAGCTATCGTACCCCCTCATCTTGCTTCCTCGCGATCTGGTTCCCTGGCTGTAAATAAAAGGTAACAATAATTGCCCTGCCTGACACTCCCATTCCGCTGTGTGAACCAACATGAGATAACCGGCAGAAAAGAACTTTGTCATTGTAAAGTTGCATACTTCCACACGTGGAGGATAATGACGACAATGATGATGAAGCCTTAAGTTCCTAATGACCCATGAAGGGTCAGGAAGGATTCCAAAGGCCAGACCAAACTGCACAGCTCATACTCCCTGGCACACTGACAGCTGGGGAGAAAGGGGGCCATCTGTACCTTACAACAATCTACCAGGCCATATTCATAAATCCTAGTTTACAGGCATAGACACAGAAGCTTGGGGCAAAGAAGTGACTTTTCCAAGATCAATGTTGGCAGAATCATAGAAGCCGAAGAGCTGAGCCCAGGGAGAAGAAGCAGCCCTGTTATGAGAACCAAGGCTCTGCCTATGGGCAACGGAATGGGGAAAACAACACATAAGAGAGAGTTGATAGAGGAGGGGATGAGGTGAGAGGGAGTTATCCCCACATGGGGTATGATGGTGAAGTCCAGAGAAAGAAGGGTGACTGATCCGGGCTCTTTCTCAAAATGATGGCTGCAGGAGGAACTCCACCATGGGAGAAGGGAGCCACAAGCAGGTAAAGTAGGTGGCAAAGTCCAGAGAGTCCGAGGTGTGAAGTCTCATTGTGGAATAACTATGACTTTGGCAGGTGTCTGGTTTTTCTGCATGGTTTTCCACGTAAGCTTGCATAGCGTGAGTCTCTGGAAAAATTAGACGTGCTGGGCTGTGCTTCAAAGTGCCTGAGGTCTTTGGCTGAGAGAACAAGGGGCAGGGCTGTCTGAGTCACAGGAGCAGGAGGAGCTGAATCTCTAAAAAGCCTTTTCCTCTTCTCTCAGACTGTTCTGTGACCCTCACAGTCCAACATCTACTGTTAAAACTGGGCCTGAAATAGGATCCTCTGATTCCCAAACTAGTACACTTTCCACAGCACTCTGAGAAACGGAAGTAAGACAGTGACCACAGTCATATAATGGAAAACAATCCTGAAAAAGCATCAGAGCTCTGATCATCACAGTGATCAATAATGACTTCAGAGGACTAAAGGGAAAGCATTCTGTTAGCAGAGAGGTGGTGGACCACAGGTGCAGAAAGAGGCATACATTTTCAAATATGACCAATGTGCTGATTTGTTTTGCTTTGCTGTAACAAAAAAAAGTGTTCCTCCATTCTGTAGAGGGAAAGGGTGACTAAGAATATAAAAACATAAAAAAGCATCAATAAAAAATGTTTTTAGGGAGAGAGAAATAAGAGTAAGAAATAAGACAGATTATAAAAGCGGCTCAGCTAAAGATACAGGATTGTTTTAAAAGTTACCTTCACAGCGAAACGCAAGGGAGTCTAGTGGCTTTCTGCAGACAATGCAGAACTTCTTCTTGTAGTGTCCAGGGGGGCCGAAACAGTGTGCGACTGGAACCTGCCAAGGGAAGGACACAGGCATCCATCAGTGAGTGACATCTTCCTGCTATGGACAGCAGTCACAAGACCAAAAGTTTGAGCAAGACTTCTCCTTATCCCAAGAGTCCTAAGAATTACAGCAACAATGATTATTGACATCTACGTGTAATTTTAAAGTTTGTGAAATGATTTTTGTGTTTTGCTTTTTGGTGAGGCGATTGGGGTAAAGTGACTTGCCCAGGGTCACACAGCTAGCAAGCGTTAAGTGTCTGAGGCTGGATTTGAACTCAGGCCCTCCTGACTCCAAGGCCAGAGCTCTATTTACTGCACCACCTAGCTGCCACATAAAATGGTTTTTTAATGCAGTTTTTTTTTCCCATTTGGTCCTTACAAAAACCCCCATAAGTGAGGTGCTATAGGTATCCTCATCCCTGTCACTCAATTCCAGGGATCTCCTGGCTCCACATCTAGTGGGATGTCTACTGGTCTACAACTGCCCCTCATCAGTGTAGAAAATATCTTAATCATCATTACCTTAGAGTTTTAAGGTTTATAAAATGCACCCCCAACAACAACCTTGGGAAATGGGTGTCACAACTGTAACTAACCATCCCAAAGGTGTAGCCAGAATAGCTGATTTAAACAAAGAGCTCTGTTTTGGCAGTATGGCACCAGAGAAACTGAAAAGCACTTTCAACACCTACCTGTTCCTGGCACCCTTGGCAGAGGAAGGCTAAAGGAAGAAGAGTCCCTCTTGATAGCCATATTTTAAATATGAGGAAAAAGAGACTAAATGAGTCACCCAAAGTCAATTCAGCAAAGATTTCTTATACACTTACTATGTGCTTGGCACTCAGATAAAACGGCACAGACTAAACAGCCCTTGCTTTCAAAGACCTTACGTTCTATGGCGACGGTTCCCAAATGTTTTTGTTCCTTGAAACCCTTTCAACAACAACAAAACTGTGTTGTAAATTTTCAGGGTAATTTAGCATATTACTCTTAATATTCTTTCATATTTATTCATTAAGTGTGTATAATAACTTTTGCCCCAAAATCTCCAAATTAAAATTCACATTATGATTGTAACTATAAAAAAGACAAACACATGCCTCTTGTCACAAAGATAAAATATATTTGTAACATAATTGGGTAATTATTTATTGCATAAGGGGCCATTAAAGAACTGCTAGCATGAGGCTCTTGGACCATCATGAACCACTAAATGGGAACCGTTGTTCTACTGGGCAGAGACAACCCGAACACCCCTAAACACAAAGTAATTTGAGGAGAAAGAACTAACAACTGGAAAACCAAGTTCATGGAGGAACCAAGGAAAACCTAACTAGAGCCTTGAAGAAAGATAAATGGAGATGAGGAAGGAGTACACTGCAAATATGGGGAGCAGCTTACACAAATACATGGGGGAAGGAGATAGAAGGTCAAGTTCAGGGAACACCTAGTCATCCATCTGGGTTGGAACATAAAATGTGTAAAGGTGAGTAATACAGTGTCTAGAGAGTTAGTCTGGAACCAGATTTGGAGGGCTTTAAATTCTAAACTTTAAATTTGAGTTTATCTTTTGTCCTAGTGGTAACAGGAAAGATTTCTGAGCAGAGTGATAGGGTCAGGCCTATGCATCACGGATATTATTTTGGCAGCTGTGTGGAGGATAGACCAGGGAGGGGGAAAAATTGAGAGCCGAGAGACAAATTAGGTGGCTATTGTAGCAACCCAAGCAAGAACTCATAAGGGTCTGAAATAGGATGCTGGTTGTAAAAGTGGAGAGAAGAGGGAAGGATCAGGAGCTGTTGTGGAGGCAGAAGCCAAGATTTAGCAACTGACTGCAGATGCAAGGGTTGGGGGTGAGGCAAGAACATAGATGCAGAGCTGGAAAGAACCTCAGAGGCTATTGAGTCCAATTCCCTCATTTTACAGCTGGGGAAACAGACTCAGAGAGATTAAATGTCTTGCCCGGGGTTACATGCTAGAAAGTGTCTTAGGTTAGGCAGGATTTGAACTCAGGTCTTCCTGACTCTAAGGCTCAACACCACCATCTAAGTGTCCCTTGTCCAAAATGTCTCCCTCTGTAGTGACTGGGAGGATGATTGTGCATCATCAAAAGAAATGAGAAGTTTCAATAGAAGGGCAGGTGTAAGAAAGGAAAAGAATGAATTATTTTAGACATATTGATTTCAAGATGCTGGTAGAACATCCAGGTGGGCAGGTCCAATAGGCAGTTAGAGGTATGGGATTGAAATTTAGGAGAGAAGATCATGGGATCATAGATCTAGAGGGAAGACAGGACCTCAGGGTATCTATTTCAACCCCCATCTAAATCTCAATCCCCTCTGTGACACCTGAAAAGTAGCCAGCCAGCTTCTCCCTGGACCCCTCAGGCAATGGGAAGGTCACTAAAGCTTTCAAGTGGTCCATTCCATTTGGTGGCATTAGATTTCAGGAGAAACACTAGGACTCCATAGAAAGATCTAGGAGTTATCTTTATTGAGAAAGATGAAGAAACGTTTCCCTCCCTTAGATGGAGGTAGGAGGAAAATAAGGAGAGAGCTGTCCTGAATTCAAGGGAGAAGAAAATAATCAAGGAGGAGTTGGTCAACAGTACCAAAAGGTACAGAGTTCAAAGAGGATACAGACTATGAAAAGACCATGGATTTAGCCAAGAAAGGGATCATTGGTGATCTCGGAGAAAACAGCTTCAGGTGAATGGTGGGGCTGGAGCCAAATTACAAAGGGTTGACAAATAAGTGGGAAAGGAATATAGAAAATCCTTTCTTCCCTTTCTAGCCTTATTACACCTCCCACTCTCTATGATCCAGCCAAATTCGAATTCTTAAGGTCACAAGTCATTTATCTCAATCTGAATTCTTGAAGTCACAAGCCACTTAATTTGCACTGGTTGTCCTTAACATCTGAAAAGATCTCCTACCTCACCTCAGCATCTTGGCATCTCTAGCTTCCGGACAAACTCAGCTCAAAATTCACCTTCTTCAAAAAAGGCTTTTCCTCCTCACCTGCCCCCCACTGGCCCCATCCCTTCCCACTAGTACCTAGCACCTTCCTCTCAGAAGGTTATGTTTGTATCTACTTTGTAAGTGTGTTTGTATAGAACTATAGATGTGAATGGTATTGCTGTCATTAGAATCTAAGCTGCTTGAGGGCAGGTACTGTTTCACTTTTGTCTTTGTAACCCCTGAGCTTAGAACAGTACCTGACATATACTAGGTGCTGAATTTATTGGTTGATTCTCTAAGATTTTGTCTATGAGAGGGTAAAGAAAAATGGGGCAATATCCTGAAGGGATGAAAGGGCTAAGTGAAATGTTTTGTTTTTAGGTTGGAGAGACGGGGGCATGGTTTGAGGTAGAGAGAAAGTCTGTAAGCCAAGGCACTAAAATTCCTTCAGAAAGAAGTGTGACTCAGATACTGGCCCTAAAAAGAGAGTCATGAGCATGTTCTTTGCTCCCCACTACCACTTCCAGATTTTTCCTCTGTCAGTCACTCTAAACCTCTCTGCTTTGAGGTTTTCTTCATCTCTAAGATTAATATTTACATTCCCTTTGGGCAGAGTACCAAACTTTTTTTCCCTCTCTCTTAAAGACCAGCCTTAACCCCAAATCACTCAGGCTCTCATGGATTGGTCAACAATAGGTCCCAGGCCAAGCCCTACTTGGTCATAGTTTGGGCCCTGATTGGCTCAGAATGAATGTAAATAGCAATTGTCTTAGTTTTGGCCAGAAACCCTAAGGGTCTTTTATTTTTTTTAATAAGAGACCATTCTCTGTCTCATCTTTTATTAAGCCTTAATCACTGAATGGGCATTTCCCCAGTCAAACTGAGACTGTTAAAGACCTTAGGTTGAAAAGGCCAAGGTCTCCCACTGCATCTGGGGCCATCTCCCGTGGTCTTGACCTGTATCTTGCCACTGGACCCAGATGGCTCTGGAGAAGAGAGTGAGGTTGGTGACTTTGCACTGCCCTCCCTCGCTTAAATCTAATTCACTTGCATGTCATGGCATCACCTCCCTGATGTCATGGTCCTCTTCCAGAATGAAGGACAAATATTAGCAATCTACCTCTATCACCCTGCCCTGATTATTATTGCCATAATTGGCCAATGTTCAGGTCATTCACTCTTCCCTCTCAAGGAGTTTAATACTTAGTTTATCTTTCTCTCTACCTCAAACCCTGACTTCATTACATATGAAAATGTTCCCTCAAACCGCCTGGCTTCTTCAACTCCCACAACATGTATCTTCTCTGTGCCTCAGCTATCTACAGGGATGGTCAGACCTTACATCCCACCATTACCCCATACCTGTACCAGCTCCAACTTTGGAACTGTGAAATTCCCCACTCTTCAGAATCTCCTATCCTCCCTTCTCTCCTATCTGACTCACTAACTCATCTTCTCTTCATCTTCTCTAGACTTTAAGGAACGAATTGCCCTTCCCCTGGCCAAGGCCAGCTCTTCCACTTGTGCCCTTCATGCCATTTCTTTTTTTTTTGGGGGGGGGGGCTTCATGCGATTTCTAATGAACTTGTCTTCCCCTCTCTGCCTCTCTCATCTTCAATATCTCCCTCTTACTGACTCTTCCTTTACTGTCTACAACCATGAGGAAGTATCCCCAATCCTTAAAACCAACCAAACAAACAAAAAAACACTGTTTACCTTAATCCACTATCCTTTCAAAGGATTACCCTAGAGCCAAGCATTAAACTCTTGAAAAAGGAAAAATGAGTAGCCTAGACTGATTATGGCTGATCATGGCAACAAAGATCTGGACAGGTTCAAAGAGATGGATGGAAAGAAACTCTAAAGGAGGGGAGGTTTAGTGAGTAATTCTGGCCAAAGAACTGATTGAACCTGAGAAGGAAGATGCTGATAAATGACTGCTAGGACAGTGTGTTGGGGGACATAAGGAACAAGTCCTGACAATGGTGGTCAAGACTACAGCGTCATCTAAGAGATCCATATTTCCACATGCAAGAAGGTGGAAAAAAGGGGCAGCTAGGTGGTACAGTGGATAGAGCACTGGCCGTGGGGGATCAGAAGGACCTAAGTTCAAATCTGGCCTCAGACATTTGACACTTATTAGCTGTGTGATCCTGGGCAAGTCACTTAGCCCCAATTGCCTTGCAAAAAAAAAAAGGTGGAAAGAATGTGGAAACGAAAAGATACAGGATGAAGGGAAGTTTGTTAAACAACAGAGTGGGGTTCCACAGGGCACAAGGTCAGGGAAGGGCAGATGAAGAAAAGTCCTGGGGAGTAATAGGATAATTTAGCTGCATAGGTATGAAAAGTATCAGAAAGGTACCTTTGCCTCAACAAACAGGGTCCCTGAATCATAGAGATTAGGAGTGCCAAAAGTACAAATTTGTAAGCCACAAGACTTAGGAAGCTCTCTGGGGCCTGCACCCAACAAGGTCCTGCAATAATGGAGGACAATATTATTACAAGAGTTCACTCTGTCTCTTTTGTCTCCCTATTTTGCCCAGGCTGGAACTGCATGGACTACTCATGGGCGCAATCCCAATCTAAGAGACATGGGAACTTTGACACACTCATTCTAGTTCTCACCCTCCTTGACCCAACTCCAGAAGACTTACCATACGGATGCCAAATTTAGCACAGACACCGAATCAGTATAGCCCTCTGCAGCTTAGAACTCCCAAGCTCAAGAGCTCCACCAGCCTCAACCTACATGGTAGGAGGGATTACACAGCTATGTGCCACCATGCCCAGTGGTATTGGGAAGTAGGGATGGCAAGGACTTTGGGACATAGGTCTAGGTTCCCAGGCAGCAGACTGAGCTCACACACATAAATTACCTCCCAAGACAGCTAGGAAGGAGGCCCAGTCAGAAGCTATCCCACATGTGGCGCAAGAACCCAGCTTTGTGGTAGGTCTGATACCACAGTCCTGGTCATTTTGATCATAGGCCTAGTGGCCAAGGCCCCAATTAGGATGACATCAGGCTTTGTTTAGGGTTCTAGTCTTTCCAGAACCTGCCTTTATGGTTCTGCTGCTCCCAAGAGCCAATATATAAAATGATCTCATCCTTCTATTTATAAGCTATGTGAATATGGGCTAATTAACATAACTTCTCAGGGCTTGGTTTCTTAATCTGTCAAATGGAGATATCTGCCCTACCTATGTCACATAGTGATCCCTTCTCTCCATGCTGGTAACCTTCCTCTGGATTTGCTCCAGTTTGTCAATGTCATTCCTAAAGATGGCATCTAGAACTAAATACAACCCTATAAGCCATGTCTGAACTAGAGCTGAAGTCAGCGGTACTGTGATTCTCCCTTGCTCTAGATCCTACACTTCTATTAATGAAGCTTAAGTTCTGCCCACGTTGAGTCAGAAAGAATGTTTTCCTTTTGATCTTGGTCAGCAGCACATGATTTTGCTGGTGGGTGTTTAATGCCAGCACACTCTGGCCATTCACTTGTCGGGCATGGCCCAATCCAAGAGTCCCCACCCATCTACGCTCACTGAGGACAACAGGAAGTCATTACAGAACTTTCACCCACCTGTGGTGAACCATAGAAGGCAGTCTAGTGTAATGGAAAAGTTGGGAGCCTGAAGACCTAGGCTCCAACCCAGGGTATGCCACTGGACAGCTATGTGCCCTGGGCAAGTACCTTCACCTCAGTTTCTTCCTCTGTAAAATAATGGCATTGGGCTAGATGATCCCTAAGTCCCTTCTAAATTTGAATCCAGGAAACTATGCTAGATCAGGGAGGAATTGGAAATTTTACTTGGGATCTAGGAACAGGACCAAAATTTTAGAGGAGAAAATTGGTCAATAAGTCACCTGGAAAAATGTTTTCAAAAGGGTCCAATTGATCATTTCCCAAGAATACAGCCAAGGAAGACCTTGGGGGCAGGATGAAGAGGGATTAAGAGGCTTCTGAACTGTCCTGAAGACAGCCAGGCCCCCTAAGAATTGAAGGACAACCACCACCACCACCACCAACATCATCATCATCATCATCATCACCATCAATACCTATTACGTGCCAGGCACTGTGCTCAGTGCTTCACAATTATTATCTCATTTGATCTTCACAACAACCCTGGGAGGATGGTACCATTATTATTTCTATTTTACAGATGAGGAAACTGAGGCAAGCAGGTTCACACAGCAAGTAAGTGTTTGAACCTGGATAAGTCCTTCCTGACTCCAAGCCTGGTGTTCTATCCACTGCACCATCTAGCTGCCCCTATAAGGAGCTGTAACAAGGGTCTGGGTAGGTCTTGGGGCAAGAGGGACTAGTCCCTGAGGGGTGAAGGGGTGACCCATATCCCCTGCTATCCCAGCAGATGGGGGATGCAGAACACAGTGGAAAGAGGGAGAGAAATAACAGAGTTCAAGGGAGTCAAAAACAGAGACAGAGGTGCTACGTACATTAAAATTTCTACTGTAGCACTTTTTGTGGTTAAAAAGAAAAAAACCCTCAAAAACCCAGTAGTCCATCACTTGAGGAATGGCTAAACAAATGATGGTACAAGAATGTAATGGAATATCACATTCCATTACAAACATAATAATGAGCATTCCATTATATTGTATTCCAATATATGCAGGAAGAATTCAGAGAAACCTGGGAAGACTTATATGAACTGATACAGAACAAAGTAACTAGAATCAGAAGAACTATTTACAGGAAGACTGCAATAATGAAAAGGAAAATAAAATTAAAAACTTCAGAATTCTTGACCAATGCGGTGACCAACTAGCACTGACAAAGAAGCATGTCTTCCTTCTCCAAGAGAGAGGCTGGCGAACTGACTATAAGGCAGAAATGAGCTTCTAGCTCTCAGGCACAGCCAACGTGTGTTTGGCTTAACTGGCATTCTTTGTTACGTGGCAGGCTTCTGACTGGGGGGAAGGTACACTGGGGAGTAGCAGAGATATGGAAAAAGGGCATAAATAAAACATTTATTTTACTTAAAGAAAGGGAGAAAGAGGGGCAGCTACGTGGCGCAGTGGATAGAGCACCAGCCCTGAAATCAGGAGGACCTGAGTTCAAATCCAGCCTCAGATCAAACACTTGACGCTTACTAGTTTTGTGACCCTGGGCAAATCACTTAACCCCACATGCCTAAAAACAAAACAAAAAATCCAACAAAAAAATAAGAAAGGGAGAAAGAGAGAGAGGAGAAAGACAGAAAGAGTAGAAGAGTACAAGGTAAAAAGAGAGAAAGGAATAAATGAATAGATGGATGAAAAAGCATTTACTAAATGTTTACTATGTCCCTGGAGAAGGAAGGGAGGGAGAGAAGGAAAGAAAAGAGAGAAGGAAAAAAGGAAGGGAAGGATGGAAGAACGGAGGAAGGGAGAGTGAGAAAAAAAAGTTTTCAGGATATTCCCTCTGACAGACTATGTTTTCTGCATGAAGCCAGCCTAGCTAAGAATAGGGAGCGTTAGCATCAGGGAATTAAAAACTAAGTGAATTCTTTGGTCATGGAGACATTTTCTTATAGTCATTAGCAATAAAAACCCATTAGAAAACAAAATGAAAGCTGTGTTGGGAGTTTTGGGCTGCAGGAAGGGTATTCAGGGAGCAGGAAAAACCATCATTAATGGGTCTTGCTCCACTTTCCCTACTTGACTCAATGGTATTAAGTACCATTCTACCAATAATTTATTAAACATCTACTACGTGCAAACATTGGTCTAAGGTCCCAGGAAGAAGCTACTAGGCTGGAGGGAGCCTGGATGGGGTGACAGCATATTGAGGCTTACAATCTGAGCTTTGGAAAGGACTTTGAAGGTCATCTAGTCCAGACCCCTGCTCACTACTCAAACCTACATTCCCGGCAAGTGGCCCTCTAGTCCCCGCTTGAAGAGCTGCAGCCACAGAAAACTGAGGGTGGCCTCTCTGTCCCTGAGTCAGCAACAGAACAAACAGAATGAGAAGTCAAGGGAGCAAGTTGCCAAGAAACTAATTTAGGCTCTGTTCTAAGTTTGGAGCTGTCCAGAAGGCTATGATTTCGCAGTCACTGGGGGGGTCTGGATAACCACTGGTCAGGAATGTAGAACACTGGGGTACCCTTGAGGGTACCTCCCAGCTCTGAGATACCGTGTGATCTGGATGAGCCTTCCAGAGACATGAGCTCTAGTTCCACTCTTGCTATTAAATAACTAAATAGACCTTGGATAAGTCACTTTTCTTCTTCAGCTCCTTATTGTGAAACTAATCAGGAGTTCTTAACCTAGGAATCTGTGAACTTTTCAAAAAAAGTTTGTTTCAATTTTTTTTCATATTATCTATATATTTCAATGGCATTTCAATATAATTAGTTCCCTTTGTAATCCCATGTATTTTATGTATCTAAAAACATGATTGAGAAAGGGGGCATGAGTTTTTACCAGACTGCCAAAGGGCCCATAGTGCTCTTAATTCCCTTCTAGACCTTCTGATAGGACCACGACTGAGAAATGGAAAGAAAGACATACAGTGCCACCCAGTTCTTCTGAATGGGACACTTCCCCTTCCATTCCCCCACCCCCAAACCCAGGAGAAGCATGAGCCAATACAGACCCATCAACGCCCAATTAGAAACCTATTAACAAAATTTAAGACCGAAATTCAAGTTTTATTTGACTTCAACAATAATTGAAAACAATTATTCAATAATAATAATTCAATAATAAATGAATACAAGGTATCATGATGAAATTTCTAGGCACCATGATGAACTGGCACTCAGACCCCAAAAGTATTCTGGCCCAATGATACTTGGATTTAAGCTTGTAGTATAATAAAGATATATAGATATAGATATATACATACACATACACATGTATATACACATATTTAGCAAAGTAAAAGTTATTAGAATAACCAATGATTTCATCATCACCACAAAAAGAAAAAATTAACCCCACCCACGTATAGGTAGCAAACTTGGGAAAGTGGGTCTCTCTACTCACCCTGACCAGGCTCGGAGCAATACAGGCACATGGGATCTTCACGTGTTTCAAGCATTTTTCATGAGACATAAAGTTGCAGACTGTGGAAACAAGAAACCTTTTCAGACTCAATAATGTCTTGAGAAAGATGCAATAATGGGAACTGGAGGATACAGGAAGGCCAGAGGCAGAGATACTGGAAGATAATATTCCCTACTTCTATTCTGCTTTAAGGTTTACAAAGGGTATTTCTTCCTTACAACAACTCTACAGGGTAGGTATTTCAAGTATTATAATCCCTACGTAACAAAGGAAGAAAATGAGGCCCAGAGACTCACCTGGGATCATACAGCTAAGAAATGTCAGAACCAGAACTTGAACCTGGAACCTCACCCCACAGGCAGTTCTTTTCACTGTAGCACACAGCATGGGACTCAGATTTATGCTGCTCTGGTCAAAGCAGCACAACTACTCTCAGCCTTTCAGGAACAGTGAATGGGGGCCCTACATGCTAAATCCAAGTTCCCAGGAATCAGATAAACTCATCAGAGCCACAGCAACAACATGAGTCCCTTCCCAAGTAGGAACAGGCCACCATGGCCAGTCCCCTGCAGCAAGATGTTTGGCTCCTTGCCATTAGCATCATCAGCATTTCCAAAGCCACTGAGAACAAGGAGCAAGAGAGAGTGAGCACTGGGAAGCTGGCAGAGAAAGGCTGAAGCCTCACGCATGCCTCTTGAGAGCCCCTAACCTCATGACTATTTGCTTCTGTAAGTTTTAACCACTGCAGAATTCCAAATTAAACAGTTCTGAAAAACCTGGACTTACATGAACTGATGCTGAGTGAAGTAAGCAGAAAGAGAACATTGTACACAGTAACAGCCACATTGTATGATGATCAACTTTGATATACTTAACTCTTAGCAATGCAAGGATCCAAGACAACTCCAAAAGACTCACGATGGAAAATGCCATCCACATCCAGAGAAAGAACTACGGAGTCTGAATGTAGATCGAAGCATATTATTTACTCTTTTTTTGGTTTTGTTTTTCCTTTCTCATGGTTCTCTTTTCTTTCACAACATGACTAATGTGGAAATACATTTAACATGATTGTTCATGTATAACCTATATCAGATTGCATGCCATCTTGGGGAGGAGGGGAGGGAGGAAAAATGTGGAACTCAAAATCTTGTAAAAGTGAATGCTGAACACTATCTTTACATGTAATTGGAAAAAATAAAATATTACTAAGTGGGGGAAAAAAAAATTCTGAGTTACCACTTCAGTCCTACCAGATTGGTTAAAAAAAAAAAAAGAAAAATGACAGAATTCCAATGTCACTAGGGTTTGAAGTAAAGAAGTAGATTTATTTTTACTCCCTCCTCTCTCTACAATTCAGCAAATGGTCTTTGAAAAATGCTAGGATAAAAAATTCATCACCCTACTGTCAACCTAGAGATGATCCTCATTAGGCCAATCCTTGGAGAGCAAAGCCTTTTGCTACTCATATACTCGAAGCCTTTCCAGCCCAGTAGGACCTGCCGAAATTGGCACAGCCTTGAAGAACCCTGGGTCACTTCCAGGCCATGATAAGGAAGCAGAGTAGGACCTTAGGGGAGAGTAAAAAACAAAACAAAACAAAACAAACCAGCAGGTGGAATTTCCAAAGAGGCTAGTTTCCTTCTAACAAGGAAGCTGTTTAACAGTGGAAGGGGGCTCCCTTTGGGAGCTCCTGATCATGATGGATATTCAAATAGAAGCTGATCAGGGAGGCTGAAGGACTTCTGGCACTGGGTAGGACACTGAACTGATGACAGCAAAAATAACTGAGGTAGACAGTGACGGAATTACAATCCCCATTTTACAGATGGACAAACTGAGGTTCAGAGAGGGAAAGTTCTTTGGCCAAGGACATACAAGCTAATAAGTATCAGAGCAAGGATTTCGATCCAGGTGTCCTGACCCTAAATTCAAGGCTTTTCTCATGACACTAATGGTTCTTTCTTAACCACATTCTTAACCCCAGTGTGGGCCATGGATAGATTTGAGGGGGGGCCATAAATTTAGGTGGGGAAAACAAAAATTACATCTTTAGTTGCAATGACCTCTAACAGAAATCTGGCATTTCCTTCGATTACCCCCCCCCCACACACACACACTCGCGGGCCCAGCCCCCCACCCCCAGCCCTGCTAAACTGATCAGCCTTCGGGAACTGAGTCTAAATTTCAATCAAAACCTTCAAACAGAAAAATATGCATCCCTTTGAGCAATTCATTATTCTACTGGGGATGGCTGAGCTAAGCAGGAGCATTTGGGAAATAAGCAAAAAACCAAGGACAATGAACGAACAGAAGAAATTATAGTAAATGAGGTAGATGGCTTTGGTTACATAATGCTTTAAAAATCTGTAGAACAAAAACAACCAAAAATAAATAAATAATAACCCAGCCCAGTATGACCAAGTTAAAAAGAAAAAAATCAGCTTGGGGAAAAACCTTTGTGGAAAATAGGACAGATGGAAATATGTATAAGGAATTGATATAATTCAATATATTATTCAAGTGAAACACCCAGTCGCCAATAGATAAGTGGTCAAAGGATAAGAACAGTCAATTTACAAAAGAGGAAATACAAATTACAAATGATCACTTAGGAAAATGGCCAATGCCCTTCATAATGAAATAAATGCATATTAAAACAACTCTGGAAAAAACAACAACAACTCTGAGAACATTCCCGAGAGATAAATCGTGGGATATTATGGAAAGAGTACTGGATTTGAATTCTAAAGACTCAGGTTTGAATCCTGAGTCTGACTTACTGGGTGACCTTGAAACAAATTACTTGTGTTTCTCTGGGACTCAGTTTTCCCCTCCGTAAAAATGGAGTGGTGGCAGGAGGATGGGTGGGGTATTGAACCATATTATGGACAAATTCTGATAAAGCTCTCAATCCCATTATCCTAATACCTTAAATCCATCACAATGGAAAAAATAAACAAAAACTATAAAACTTAAATACTGGTAGAAACCTATGGCAACAGGTTCCCTTGGGCATTGCTGGTGGAATTTCAAGCCAATGGAACCTTTTTGGAGAACAATTTGACAGCATATAAAAGAAACAAACAAACAAATCCAACTGTGCCTTTTAAACTAATAATCCCATTATATTACGTGTATCCAAAGAATGTCATAACTAAAAAGAGAAAATACTACCTTTTCAAAGATATTTTGAACATTATTATTATTATTACTTCTAATAAGGCAGCATGTATTTGTTTGTAATGACGACTTAGTGAATCCAGTGCAGAACTAGAAGTCAAGAAATGTTGGATTCAAATGTTGACTCTCATGTTTACTAGTTATACGGTTATCAGAAAGTGGCAAACTCTGAGATACCACCTCAATATTTATCTGCAAAATTACAGAAAGGCTATGACCTAGAGAGTAACTGAACTTCTACAGAGAGAGCACTGACTCTGGAGTTGGGAGAATATAGGTTCCAATCCAGCCTCTGACATTATTTCTTTGACCCTGGGCATGTCACTTAATTTCTCTAAGCCTCAGTTTCCCCATCTGTAAAATAAGGGCATTTGACAGGACTTTCTCTAAGGTTTCTAAATCAATAAGCCTATGATACTACATGAAGCCCACAATTAATAAGAGTTCCTCAGTGTATCTGTACTAGTGAGAAACTGGAAACAAGGGAATGACTGAACAAATTGTGATATAGCAATTTTATGGACTACAGTAATAACAACGACTAACATTTGCAAAGACTCTTTAACAAATATTATCTTAGATCAACCCTACAAGGTAGCTGCTATTATCTACCCTCCTATTACAAATGAGGAAACAGAGGATGAGAGATGTAGGTGTAGTAGTAGTGGTAGTAGTGGTGGTGGTGGTGGTGGCGGTGGTAGTAGTAGTAGTAGTAGTAGTAGTAGTAGTAGTTGTTGTTATTGTTTTTTGGCTAGGCAATGGGGTTAAGTGACTTGCCCAGGGTCACACAGCCAGTACGTGTCAAGTGTCAGAGACTGGATTTGAACTCAGTTCCTCCTGACTCCACGGCCTGTGTACTATCCAATGTGTCACCTAGCTGCCCCTGTAGTAGTAGTAGTAGTAGTAGTAGTAGTAGTAATAGAATTTATCTAGTGCTTTTAAGTTTTGAAATGTACTTTACAAATATTATCTCACTTCATCCTCACAATATCATGGGTTATGGGTGCTATAATTATCTCCATCTTACAGATGAGGAAATTGAGGCAAGCAATGGTTAAGTGATTTGCCCAGGGTCACACAACCAGTACGTTTATCAAAGGTAGACCTTACATCCAGGTCTTCCTGATTTTGAGATTGCCTCTTTCTATTTGCTGTGTTACACCGCCTCTCGCTATTGCTGTTTTAAAAAGAAAGAAAGAAAGAAAGAAAGAAAGAAAGAAAGAAAGAAAGAAAGAAAGAAAGAAAGAAAGAAAGAAAGAAAGAAAACTATGAAATAAATAAATATATTGCCTCTAGTATTACAAAAAACAAGCTCCACAGCCTGACATTTAAAGCCTTCCACAATCTGGCTCCCACCTACCATGCCAGATTGATTTCACATCATTCCTGTTCATGAACTCTGCATTCCAGCCAGAATGGCCTGCTGGCTGTTCCCTGAACACGCATTCTCCTGACTCCGGGTTTTTACCCAAGTCATCCCACATGCTTCCACAGCACTTCCTATCTCATCCCCATCTTGCTTTCAGAGTCAACTCTAACATCACTTCCTGCAGGAAACCTCTCCAATTACCTCTGTCCCTCCCTCCTGCCCTCAGTGAACTATCTGGGCCTCCCCATGAGAGCAGGGGACTGCCTCCATTTTGCCTTTGCATTTCCAGAGCCTGGCACAGGTCTTGCACAAAGCAGGCATTAAAGAATGTTTGCTGGATTAAATTATGGAAAGATTTGTACGAAATAATTCAAGATGAAGGAAGATGATATGAGCTAGTACCTCCCCTCCCTCACTGGCAGAGGTGAGAGACTACAGGTGCGGAGCACAGCACATACTGCAGCAGGATTTCAGCCACCGGTTAGTTTTGCTGAATTATTTTTTTTA